GAAACACTGGGCCGCCTGCAGCGGAGCGTGCGAACTTAACCACTTGGCCACGGGGCCAGCCCCTCTCTGGATCTGTTTTAATATCAGTCAGTTGAGAATATAGGCAGTACACTCTTTGACATCAGTTTCAAAAGAATCTTTTCGGACACTAATACTCCTCAGTTGAGGGAAACAATATCAGTCAGTTGAGAGGCTGGACTGACTGTGCCACCATTTCCTCGTTCTGTACACTTTTTTTAACTCCTTGCTGCATATCAGGATTGAATGATCTCTTCCTTAACTTCTCAGACTCTGGGACCTGCAGAAGCAGATTATCTTCAAGACCCCAAATTATTCTCTCAAGCGTTACAGTAACTTGGTCTTGGTTAAATACTGAAAATATGGTTTTTGTTAACAGGGAGAAGTGGAAGCCAGGGTCGAAGAATTAAAATTTGATCGTTACTCCATATTTAGGCCTGGGTAAGTATTCATACTGCGTAAGAGTACACCACTGCCCATTATGCCCTAGAAGCTAGTTTTTCATTCAAAGAGGCTGACAGCTAAGATATCTAAGATATGACAGAAGTTGGCTGAAGGTGGATTGCTTTTCTGAAGGACCCCACCTTTTGGCTTTAAAGGAAGGGGTAGACAGTGGTGGGACCAGGTTCAGAATAGTCTGGAACTTACTGGGTAGTATTGGCTGCCTTCTTTTTTTAAATAGAACCTTTTGCCTCTGGGGGCTAGCCTGGTGGCACAGCAGTTAAGTTCGCATGTTCCACTTCCGTGGCCCCGGGGTTCGCCAGTTCAGATCTTGGGTGCGGACATGGCACCACTTGTCAAGCCATGTTGTGGCAGGCATCCCACATATAAAGTAGAGGAAGATGGGCACGGATGTTAGCTCAGGGCCAGTCTTCCTCAGCAAAAAAAGGGGAGGACTGGCAGTAGGTGTTAGCTCAGGGCTAATCTTCCTCCAAAAACAAAACAAAACAAACCTTTTGCCTCTGTAGTAGTCTGCTCAAGCTGCCATAATAGAATAATACCACAGACCGGGTGGCTTAAACAACATAAATTTGTCTTTGCACATTTCTGGAAGCCAGAAGTCCAAGATCAAGGTGCCATCAGGGCTGCTGTCTGTTGAGACCTCTCTTCCTGGCTTGCAGATGGCCACCTTCTCACTCTGTGCTCACAAGGTCTTTCTTCTGTGTGCACGTGGAGAGAGAGAGATCTGATATCTCCTCTTCTGTAAAGATACCAGTCTTACTGGATTAGGGTCGCATCCTTATGACCTAATTTAAACTTGATTACCTCCCTAAAGGCACTGTCTTCAAATACAATCTCATTGTGGGTTAGGGCTTCAACATGAATTCTGGGGGCAAACAGTTCAGTTCATAACACCCTCTGTGGTGTGAATGCAATTTATCATTTCATCCTCGGCTTTTTTCCTCTTTAGAGTTCTACTGTGTGATAGGCAAGAATCTCGCCCAGGTGAATGGTTGGTTAGGAAATTCTTCGGCTCCTTACCAGAGTCTTGGGCCGGCGGGCACTCTGTGCCGGTGGTGACTGTGGTTAGAGCGATGCTGAACAACGCGGTGAGACTGGGCGACGGGACGACCGAGCTGCTGGATAACAAGGCCATCCACGACCTGGGCAAAGCTGATGGCTCTCTCAAGCCGTGATCACACTGGAGAAATGCTTTTCACTGTAAACCTCAACACCCACCACCTAACTGGTAATTTCCGGGTCTGAAAAAAGTCAGCATGCTTTAACTGTGGTTCTCAGCCTCCCAGATCCAATCGAAGAATGGTTGTGCTCTGCATCAGCAGTTCAGAGCTTGGTTGTACGTATATATACACATCACCTAGGGGGCTTTTAAAATTATAGAGATTCAGGGCCAGCCCCTGTGGCCCAGTGGTTCAGTTCATCACGCTCTGCTTCAGTGGCCCGGCTTCGGTTCCCGGGCACGGGCCTACACCACTCTGTTGGCGGTCAAGCGATGCTGGGGGCCCACATACTAAACAAAATCGAGGAAGACTGGCATGGATCTTAGCTCAGGGTGAATCTTCCTCAGCAAAGAAAAAAAAAATATAGAGATTCAGAGGCCCTACCTTGAATGTTCTTAATCAGAATTTTTGGGGTGCAGGCACAGAAATCTGTGGTTTTGTTTTGTTTAGGCTGCTGGTGGTGGTTCTGATGCCCTGGCTGGGGAGGCTAGCTTTGAAATGCTTGTCTGCAGTCACAGCAGCAGTGCTGCAAACCTTATATATCATGCAGATGAGTTCTTTTCTCAAACTGCTGACATTCGTGTCTTTGAGTTACCCAGTGCTGACTACATGGGATTGTGTAAGTGAACATTGTGCCTTACTACTTCTTTAGAATATATAATAAAGGTTATTATATAACTGAGCTTATGTCATTCATGGGAGAACTAAGTCGGAGAATAAAAGTAAATGGACAAGTCCTGGGTACCTCTTAGATTGTTAGAAAATGCCCAAGTATCAGTGATAATATGCAGCATTTTGGCCAATGAGAGGACAGCAGCTAATCTTTATCAAGTGCTTGCCAAGTGCCAGCCTTTATGTATGCTATCTGTCCTTTAACCCTCCGAACAGTCCTTATAAGGTGATACTATCATTCCCATATCTCAGATGGGGAAACTAAGGCTTACTGTGGTTAAGTGCCTTGCCCAAGGGCCCAAAGCTGAAGACCTGAAGCTAGGAAATGGCAGAGCCAGGATTCTAACCCAGGTCAGCCTGATCTCATACTTGTAAGCCTTCTGTGAGAGCATCCTCTATCTGTATATGAGCAGGGAGTTCCACTAATTGTACCTGCATCCAGTACATGCTGTGGATGAATAAAATTGAAATACTTGGGTTTCTCCATTTCTCCTTGTCAGGATTAACCACAAAATGTTCACATAGCCCTTAAAAGTGCAGTTCAAGTTTCTGCCCTTTAAAAACTATGGAAAGGAAAGGTATATGCAGAAGGAAGGGTCAAAGGCGAGAGGAGCACAGGATATCCATCACAGAACAAACGATGGTGGTGAAAGTTGTTTTAACTTGTGGGCTTGGGGGAAACAGTGATTTGAGTGATTCAGTCAATTTTTACAGGGTCTACAGTGTGCCAGGTACATTTCAGGCTTCAGTGGACACTGCAGGATAAAGGCCATCCCCCTTAATAGGGGGTATATGTCCTTAGAAGGGAGTGGACATTCCCAGTGTCAGTCACCCAGGAAAGAGGCATTTCTAGGGCAGGGTGGGATCTTGGAATGTGGGCTTTAGAAAGGAAACGGAGCATCTTCCTTCTGCCAGGTGGGGTTCCCTTGGGGCTAGACTCTGAAGAGCCTCGGTCTGTTTCAGTGGTAACAAGCACGGGCTCCAAGAAGTGAGTTCTGTGGGTTCTGAAAGCAGCTAAACCCAATAGACAGTTTTAAGTTATTCTCTCTATTATTTCCTTACCCACAAACCTTCAGGCAGGTCTTATTCAACATCCTATTCTGGTCTCAGTAGTGAAGTGGGATGACGGGGTCTGTGTTCATCTTTGGAGTAGAGAGAAGAGCAGCTCCTCCCAAGGCCAGCATCCCGGGCCAGCAGACATTCTGACAGTGTCCTAGAATGTAGGGGCGCTTCAACACCAATACCCGATGGGTCCTGTCCTCTAAGGTTTATAGTTAAGGGAGAAGATGACATTCACAGAGTGTTGCAATAATACAAGGCATCATTCTCACTCAGCAAATTTACTGAATACCTACTATGAGCTACGGCGCAGTGCTGTGGGGCAGACCTAAAGTAGAGAAAACAAGTAAGCAAATGGTAGGCGCTAAGACAGAAACTAATGGGGGCTGCTGGAATGGCAGTGGACCCTACGTGGGAGATGGTCCCAGGGAAGAAAGCCTTTCCATTTGCAGCGCATTGTCAGCAAAGGCCTTGAGGTGGAAGGTGATTAGCACTAACAGAAGGTTGGAGGGGGCGCCCAAGGTGAAGGGTTGAGTTGAGATGCATGTCAGGCGGGGTTATGCAGAGCCTAGTCGGCCGGCCGTCAATGCCATCGGATAAACGTGCCAGGCGCGCAGTACTAGCTTCTGGGACGAGAGCTGCCGCCACTCCCACCTAACAATGCGATGGTTGAATACATGTGAGGAAGGGAAAAAGGCATGAGGCATGGGAATGTTTGTCTCCTTCCCACACAACAGCCAGGATGTTCCTCTCTAAACACATTAGTGAAAAAAAACCAAACACGTGACCGCATCACTCCCTTGCTTAATCAAACAGGTCACCGGCTTCCCGCTGTTTAGGGTAAGTAAAATGAGCACGTGTCTAAGCACTCTGCACGTATTAACTCATTTTATCCCTGGTGCAGCATTCTCCCCGTTTGTAGCGAGGAGACGGAGGCGGGGCGCGGTCGGGCGGCTGCTCGAGATCACAGTTGTAAAGTGACAGAAGCAGGATTCTAACCGAGTAGGGGGCTGCAGAGTGCAAGCTCTCACCCAGCCTTCTACTTTAAAAGACTGAAGTCCCGCGACAGCCCGCGGGGCTCTGGCCCTAGGTGGTCTCCACAAGCCCCCACGGGCTCCTGCGGTCCCCTCGCGCGCTGCACCCGCGGGCACCACGGAGCGAGCGACCCGAGTTCCGCTCGGCCTCCTCCGCCACCAGGGGGCGCCGCGGGTGGTCGTCCCTCTAGTAACCCCTCATCCCTCGAGTACCGGACGCACTGAGGGCGCGACCCCGACAGCGAAAGCGCTGCGGCGTCTCCGCCTCCGAGGTCAGGGCGGCGCCCAGGGCATCCCGCCAACACCCCCGCGGCCCGAGGAGACGGAAGTCACGCCCAAGCCCGCGACGCTCAGCCCCCCTGCAGCGCTTACCCGGCGCGCACTGCGCCAACCCTGCGGCAGGAGGAGGCGGAGCCCGGGCCCTCGCCCCGCCCATCTAGCTCACGTGACCAACGCCGCGGCCTCGAGGCCGGAAGCTCTCAGGCGCCGGCGGGCGCGCTCTCGCGTTCCCGGCGTCCGAGACCTTCCTCACGCCCCGCCCTGCCGCGCGCTCCCGGCTGCGCTCGTCCCCGCGGCCCAGAGAGCCCGGCGGCGGCTGCGCGCGCGCGCTGCCCGGCACGGTCCCCGCCCCCAGGCGCACCGGCTCCCGGGCAGCACGGCCATGTGCTCGCTGGCGTCGGGTGCTCGCGGTGGGTACCCCAGACCCTGCAGCACGGCTGGCCCAGCCCCGGCTCGCGCCGCCGGGGGGCCGCGGACAGGCCGCCCTCCTCCTGCGCCCCCGGGACGCGGAGCCGGGCGGTGGGCCCCGCGGGAGGGCGGCGGCGGGTGGGCTCCCGGGTCGAGGCCTCGCTGACCGTGTGCATGTGCTAGGCGGCCGGGGTGCCGAGGAGGAGGACGAGGACCTGCCCGCGCTGTCCGACAGCGGCGACGAGGCCGCCTGGGAGGACGAGGACGGGGACGAGGCTGGCCTCCCCCACGACAAGCAGCAGACCCCCTGCCTGTTCTGTGACAGGTTCGTTAGCCCGCCGCAGCGCCGCGCGCTCAGGAGTCGCCCGAGCGGCTGTCCCCGAAGCCCGGGCCCCGCGCTCGGAGGGAGGAGCCCCGGTCACCGGGGGAGGGGCCCTGCGCTGACGCCCGGCGATGCCACCTCTCTTCCGCGGGCCTCAGTCTCCCCTCGTGTAAAATGAGAGGGCTTTGGACCACTCCTGGTTGTGCACCTTTGTCACCTGAGACACTTAAAAACACAGATGCTAAGCTCTGCCCCTCAGTCCTTACAAATCAGGGATGGCGTCCAGGAATATTCTCTTTGTAAAGATGCTCCCGCTCTCAGAGGTGATGGCAGTGAGTCACGAGTTTGGGAGTCCCTAAACTGGGTAATCCCCCGGGACCCCTCCAGCTTTAGCATTCCGTGACTCTGACAAGCAGAGGGCTTCTCAGGTGTAAGGTTTCCTTGTGAGCCGTTTAAAGGATCACTTTCCTAGCTAGGGGCTCCCCACCTGTTGAAGGGAAGGAATTGATAAGCTTAGGGAAAAAGCGACTGCGATATCAATAGCTTGTTCAGGTCACAGACCTTGTTCCATGTTTGTCTTAATATCCAAATCCGTGTTCTTTCCACTTAAAATTCTGCCTCTTCATCTCAACAAGCCTTGACGTTCGTTGGCCGCTGTCCTGGGCTCGTGGGCATGAAAGAGGCCTGCTTAGCATTGACCAGTGTTGCTTTACGAAACTTTTTCCAGTTTCCCATGAATCTAGGCCTGGTGCTGACTGGTGGTGTGTCAGCTCCTCTTGATTGGGCGTTGCTCTCACGCGTAGCCTCCTCTGGTTAGATGTAGAGCATCTGCATGTACTCTAGTCATAAAATAATATTTATTGAGTGTCAGGGGCATACTTCTTTATGACAGGCTGCATAAATACTGCAAAAATAACCTGTCTGGGTAAACATTTGTTGAAAGCTAACTGCGTGTATGTGCCAGGCATATAGAAGAGGGGTGCGGCTTCTCTGCTGGGTATTGCTATCTTATATGTCCCTCAGCTTTGCAGGTCACATAATAAAGAGGCTTGGTCCTCACAATGTCTGTAATGCAGAAACTTTGGGAACACTGCAAGATCACTTTTGAAATATGGCACTTTGGGAATATGCCAGCTGTAAAATTACGTTTGATGCTTTATTTCTAAAAGCAGTTTGAGCTGTGCCAGTTCAGAGCCTTTGAAAGCAGTGTTGATCCTTAGAGGACAGAAAAATTTTGTGTAGGGAATTTTCATGTCTTGAGGGAAACAGAATGTACCAAAAGGAGTTCTCTTTCTTAAAAGCCTTTTGATAAATTCCTTGCTATCATTTGGCAAATAAGTTAACTTCAGCATTTAAAGGGTAGTTAGTTTTAGTTGTAAATGGAACTCAGAGATATCAATTCCCTTGAGAAGTTCTGGGTTCCTCTTATTTACAGGCATGTTTGTTTTTTTCTTAATTGGAGATAAAACTAGAAGGCAGCAGAGTAGGAGGGGAAGTGTATGTTTAACATGACATCAGTATTTAGACTTCTTGGGGGACTATTCCATGAAGCTGTTTCTTGATTTTTCAGGTTGTTTACATCTGCTGAAGAAACATTTTCACACTGTAAGTCTGAGCATCAATTTAATATTGATAACATGGTCCATAAACATGGTGAGTATTTTTTAGAGCAAAGAAAATTTTAGTTGTGAAATTTAAGTTTAAACTTTATATTTTTCCAGACCTTTCCTTTTCTATACAAGTCCAATATAATGAAACATATAGCAACAATGTGTCTTAAGACAATGGAGTTTTTTGGACAAGTGGCCTTTAAGGAGAGATTAATTATATTCTTCTAGATAAGGTTTACTGTATTAAAGCTTATATAGGCTTCACAACTTAAAAGGGGGAAAAAAAACCCTTGGCATGTGATTGTATTTTTATCATATTAGAATTAAAGAGATCAAGAAAGTAGATTAGAATTAGAGCAAGGATAGAGGTGGACTTTGGAAAAGGAGGTGGGTCATTATGAAAAAAGTCAACTCATCAGGCAAAGCATAACATGAACTTCAAGTCATAGAAGGTTGAGTTTGATAAGGAGTTTGGTAAGAGAGTATGTAGAACGGAGTGATGAAGTTAAGGTGGTAAGCAGAATATTTAGATGATTCTTTTGAATCTTGCGTTTAGACATACTTACCTTACAATTAAAGCCTTCCACTTCTTTAAATGAATAAAGAAGAGCTGCACTATTCCACTCAAATTAACTAAATACAGAATTGGTTTTTTGCTCCATGTATTTACTAACAACTAGAAAAGACATTAGGTAAACATGTAATATAATGTTTATAGATCATGAATAAGACATGAATAACTTAGTCTCATTGTTTTTTTTCATGTTTCTAATGTGCATTTTTAAAGATTTTTTTTCCTTTTTCTCCCCAAAGCCCCAAAGAATATACATAGTTGTATATTCTTCATTGTGGGCCCTTCTGGTTGTGGCATGTGGGACGCTGCCTCAGCGTGGTTTGATGAGCAGTGCCATGTCCGCGCCCAGGATTCGAACCAACGAAACACTGGGCCGCCTGCAGCGGAGCGCGCGAACTTAACCACTGGGCCACGGGGCCAGCCCCTCTAATGTGCATTTTTAAACTGAATTGGAATCATACTTTAAATATAATTTTGTATTTTTTCACTTACCAAATAGGGGTTTTTCTACGCTATTGTGCATATAAAACATTTTGTGTGTGCTGCTCTGTTCCTCATAATAACATTTCTCGCGACAGATAATAACCAGGTGGTTAGATATGCCGTTGTTTCCCTTGCTGCTTCATTTCTGGAAAGATGAGGACCAGATAACAAGCCTCATTATTTTTTAATTTGCACCATTTAACTTAATGAAAAGCTAGTATGTTTTGTATACTCCATGTCTTGGCGAAATTATAATTTGGTAGGCACCATAAAAATTGGGGATTTAGAAACTTTCAGTTCTAAAATCAACTGCCACATACTTGGTAAAATCCAAGACCTGATTTTCCTGATTTGTATTGCTCTGACAGATGAGGAGAAGAATTCTAAAAATTAATTTCTCGTTTTTCAGAAAGGCAAGAAAAGCATTTAAAAATCTGTCATCTCTGGCTGTTTTTAAATTAAAATATTCAGAAGTATCAAAGTTACTATTTGTCATTCTTAATAATAAATTCAAAATATTATTATAAGTGGTAGGTATAGGGCAGAAATATTTTATTGTTTAACCAGAGAAGCATTTATAGAGCAGGCCAATTAAGCAAAACTTATCTTAAAATAGGTAAACTATCTTTTTTTTTCCTCTTTAGGACTTGAATTTTATGGCTACATTAAACTAATAAATTTTATTAGACTTAAGGTAAGTTGGTAGCTTAATTTATAATTTTGTTTCAAAACTAAAGAAATACCGCAGTGACTATCAATGTGCTGATTTTTAAAAGAGCACGAGGAGCTGCTATAGAAGGAACTTATAAATTTGGCGCTCATCGTATTGTGGGAATCACGGATGTTAGGAGCTAGCACAACATACGGCGCCAAGTGAATGGACACAATACTTAAGTGTTGTTTTTAACTGAGTCTAAGAGAACAATCAATGTTATGTGAAAATGTAATTCAGTGCCAGATAAAGGGAAATACTGATAGTATTTCTGTAAAATCAGAAGTAATTTCTAGTGTGGTTTTTTTAAGTACCTTGGGTGTTCTTTTTGTTCTTTTTTCTATTCTATTCAAATGATGTTTATATTTCCTTTCCCCCAAAGCCAAACAATATAAAACTGTGCATTGAAACCATTAATTAAAGCACTTGTCCAATCAAGTTAATGCAATGACAGGTGAACCTAGACTCCTTAAATAAAGATTTTGCATAATCTAGACGTGATTTTGTGTAATATATACATGATTTCATCTGTTTAATTTTCCTAGCTTTTGCTGGGAAGATTTTGCGATTATATGCAATGAAAAAACATGCAATTAATTTTATATCCAGAATCCTACAGTTGAGTATATGAATTCCATATACAACCCAGTGCCTTGGGAGAAAGAAGAGTATTTGAAGCCAGTGTTGGAAGATGACCTTTTACTTCAATTTGGTAAGATGAGCTTACTGTATCTACTGTAATGTAGCGTCATTTATTATGGCAAAATAGTGGTTAGATGTTCTAGGAACATTTATTTTGTTAATTCTCTAAAGATCTCATCAGGTAGTTGGTTGCAATAGGAAAGTCAAGTCACTTAAGAACTGCCAGTCACAGTAAGTCACGAAGGAGGAATTTGGGAATAGGAGCTCCTTTAAACATTGTGTACAAGACATTCTGAAACATAGGGGGACTGCAGAGAATAATTTTTAGTTGTTAGATTGATTTTGAGTCTAATTAGAATTGACTAAATTTTTAATTTAGCTAGTTTAAATTAACTAAAATTTTTTAATCAGTAGATTTAATAATACTTAACAGATTTAAGTAGATTTAATAATATTTGCTGCTTTTATCTCATGTATTCAGATTGGATAAGTGACTTTTCTTAAGACATCTAATTTACTGAGATTTTGGTTTGATGTGGCTCAGATTTAACTCAGACTTCCATGAGCTCACCCCGTACACTAACTTACGTCTCCCTTTTGGCAGGATCACTCTCATTTCTTGACTGTAGCTTTCTTCCTTAGTTACTTGCTCTGTGCTTTGGTTCATTTCTTATTGAACAGGGATCTTGTGAAAATTCTCTTGGCCTTTTATAGATACTTTATAGGTCTGATTTATTGGAGTTAAGTGATTTATTTATTTTTTTAATTTATACTTCCTTTCATGTTTCTGGTGCCAGTGGGGTTAGATAGAGGGTTTGCTGTCTTCAGATCAACGAGACCATTCTGAACAGACAGTAGTTTGACAGCGTGTATTTGAGCAGGTCTTTGATTAGCAGGAACTGTGGAAAACCACTCATTTCCTTGAGAAGTGCCATCATTAAGTTGTGTGGTGGCGTGATGCAGTACAGTAGTGAGAACCTTAATGTGGGCTTCAGGGGCTGTGTGACCTTGGGCAAAGCACTTAAGCTTTCTGGTTTTAAGTCTTCATTTATAAAGTGAGGAATTAGGGCCAGATTTCTGAGATTCTTTCTAGCTCTAAAATTTGATGAGTCCCAGGTTGATTCTTTCCCGTTTTTACCACTTCTCTTTAATCTCATGTCTCCTCAGAGTGACCAAAGTGGTCTCTTTGATAAATGACAGAGGGCCCACTGGTGTTCTTTATGACTTCCTGAATTCAAAATCATTTATTAAACACAGATTGAAAGTCAGATGTTAAATGCTTTAGGACAGGAAGAAAGGAATGTCACAATGCTTCCCATAGAAAGCCCACAGTATAGTAATAGGAGTGTTTTTTTTTAAAACGTCTATTCTGTATTAGAAGGTCAAATATGATGAGTTTTGTGAGAAGTAGAAAGGCAGTGCAGTTCAGAAGAGGAGGAGATTACTCAGATCAAGAGATACTGAGTGCTGTGTGCTGGTCACTGTGGGTACAGGTCAGTATTGAACTCGAGCTCTCCTAGGGTATATCAACTTAATTTCTTTCAGCCTTAATTTTAATTTTCAAAAAGGTGATAATGACATCTACATTCTAACATTGTTGCAAAGGTAATACGTATTAGCATAGTAGCTGTCAGAGGGTGAGTGCTTAGAAAGGAGAACTTTTTGTCCTTGGTAAATATATAGGTTCCAGAGGAGTTTAGGTGAAGAAGTAGTGACTGAGATCGGGGACAGGTAAAGAGGCCTAGTAAAGGAAGTGGAACTGGACATGCTCTTGCCTGCACTGCCCGCATTCTCTCAGTCTGTACCCCTGGCCATTCGTGGGGAGAGATGGAGGAGGAGGTCATCATTCTCCTGGCTCCAGGCCTGGTTACTGACCATTTCACCTCCACTGTCGTTCAGTAAATGTTTATTGAGCATCTGCTAAGTGTTTGGCATTGAGGATATGAAGATGACTAAACACTGTTTCAGTCCTTCACTAAAGGGAGATGACTAAGAAAGTAGGCAATGAAGTACAGTATAAGGAGGAAAAAGTAATTTTATGATGGAGAAACCTGGTAAACACTGCCTTAGCCAGGTAATCAAGGTCAACATCATCAGCGACAGGCCACGTTAATAGTATGTACCTTTGAGACGATGTGATGAGAAGGGCACTTTAGCTCTGTGGTCTTCCTCCCAAAACACATAACCTCAGTCTAACCGTGGAAAACATCACACACAAAGTGAGGGACATTCTACAAACTACCTGACCAGTGCCCCTCAAACTAAGGTTACCAAAAACAAGGCCTAAGAAACTGTCATAGCCAAGAGGGGCTTAAGGAGACATGACTACTAAATGAATTGTGATATCATGGGTGGGATCTTGGAACAGAAGGGGGACATGAGGCACAAATTAATGAAATCTGAGTGAGTAAAATGGAGTTTGGGTAAGTTTTTTAGAAAGTATGGTATAATATTTGGAATATATTCCACGAAGGGTTAATATCCTTTTATACATAAAGAAGTCTTAAAAATTGAAGGAGAAAGGATCGAATACATGTTAGAACAATGGGGAAAAATACCTGGTTAGACAGTTCACCCAAAAGGGTATAAAAATAGCCCAACGTCAAAGTACCATTTCTCACCTGTCAGACTGGGAAAACTTTTTTAAACATGACAACACGTTTTGTTGAGAGGCTGTGGAGAGACAGCCACTATCATACAGTGCTAGTAGAATGCATATTTGGCAATACCTCAACAAAACTATATATACACCCACTTTTTAACCCAGCAGTCTCACTCATAAGAATCTGTCTTGAAGATACACCTCCAGTATTCTGAAAATACATATACACAAGGTTATTCGTTGCAGTGTTGTTATTTTGAAATATCGAAAACAACCGAAGTGCCCCTTCATAGGAGAGTAGTTGAATAAGCTATGGTCCATCCACACGGTAGTCTACATCTATTAAAAACAATGAGGATGATCTCTGAACTGATACAGAGTGATATCCAGGGTATACTGTTAAACAAAAAAAGGCAAAGCTCAAAAGAATATCTGTTGTATGATACTCCTCATGTAAGAAAGAAAGGGATTTGAGAAAATGCCTGTGTGCTCATTTGTGCAAAAGAAATACAGGAAGGACAAACTAGAAACTAAAGAGATTCGCTGCTTACTGGCATTAGTGGGACCAGGGAGAAAAGAAGAGCACAGTGGAATGAGGTAGCAGCAATAAGAGGGAGTGACCCTTCTCGGAGTATATATCCTTTTGTCTAGCTCCAACTCTTAGCGCTATAATAATGTTTCTCATGGTCTTCATATAATCAAAAAAATCAACAGTTGAAACAACCAGGATGTGTGTGAGGGCGGTGGTACAGAATGGAATACAAAAACAAACAAATGAACTTAAGCATGTGACAAAGAAATAGTGTAACCACACTGAAGAGGGTGGGGAGGAAGAGAACTACCTGAGTAAGTGGAATGTGACTGGATTTTGTGCTGAGGCCACAGATAAAAAGAACTGCATAAGTGCTGTAATCTAGAAAGGAAAGGTGTTTCTTGCAGGGTGTGAATTAGCAATTCTGACACTTCTTTTGTGTATACTAGAATTGAACAAGTAAAGATATTATGGATATTAGGAGCCAGGTTTCTCTCTGTTGGAGGAGGTTTCAAATCGGGAAATGGGGAAGGATGAAATGAGTCCTGTGGTGATAGATTGGAATCAGTATAAATTCACAGTTCTTAATTTATGCACAGATGGATGGATACAGAAATACAGATGTGTGCATGTGTGGGTTAGTGTACGTACAGGTATTTCCCAGCTCTGTTTGCTGAGAGGCCTAGAAGAACCCCAGTAGCAGTGAGCATCCCTAGTGCCCAGATCTCGATCTATAGCATCATTCTGCAATAAAAGGAACCAAGGCCTCTCAGACAGGTGCATTCCATGGATGGGGCAGGGAAAATATGAGAGGAGTCTGGGACATCTTGTGCCGGAAAATAAGGAAGTACTTGAACAGGTGGAGAAGGAGGGGACTTAGCAAAAGAACACTGGTGCCCGCCGGAAGGAGCTCCTCGTGGCCACCGCTGGGATAATTTGAGCAACACGGAAGATGGTAGTATTGGTTTTTAACCCACGGGATTAAATAAATATCCATGAGTCCACACTGACAGAAATAATCAACCAAATAAATAAGTGGAGAAGGAGCAGCTCACCTTAGAGTAGAATTCCTGTTAATAGATGTTGAAAAAGAGAGAATTAGAAAATCAGCAGTAGGCAAACACCACAGTAATAACTTGCAGAAAAGACCCACCAATGGATGCTAAGATTAGCAGGCAAAAATTTAGGGCGAAACAGGATTTGCGTAGTTCAGACTCTCTCTCCCTAGAAATTTATTAACTACAAAGGAGATGTTACCTTTTCAGTGGAGAAATCCAGCAGACACCACCACAGCCAAAATCAGTGGTGATGAGGTGTATTGACACCACGAGCCCCTTGGTATAATGCACTGAGGACACAACATTTTTTCTCTGCTATTCTTGCCAAAAACATATAATTTCATTCCAAACGTGAAAAAACATCAGAAAAACCCAGGTTGAGAGACATTCTAAAAATAACTGATCAATGCTTTACCAAAGTGTCAAGATAGTGTTACTGGGTGCAGTGTTGCTATAAAGAATCAGCTCAAGGTGCTGAATGTTTTTGTTCAGATCTTTTATGTCTCTTGGGTTTTTTTAAATCTAGTTCTTTCAGTTGTTGATAGGGGTTTATTTAAATCTCTGACTGTGGTTGAAGGATTGTCTGGTTTTGCCTTTAATTCTGTCAGGTTTTGCTTCATGTGTTTTGGAGCTCTTCTGTGAGGTTTGTTCATAATTGTTATGTCTTTCTGATAAATTGCCCATCTTTTGTGGTAGTTCTCAGCTGCCAAAATGAAGTGTCGGGGTGATTTGAGCCTCCTGAGATGGAATGCAGATGTGGAAATTCCTCTTCCTGGATGTGGTTTAGGATTCTAAATTGGACTGTTTGGATAAATTACACTTGCGAATCTGAATGTTTACTGAATCCTTTCTCCTTTTCAAATCTATACATTTCACCTTTATGATTATCTACATATTAATCCTAAAGGTTTTTATTCTAACTTTTATTACAGCAGAAAGCAAAACAGAGAAACCAATTTCCTTGTTCAGTTATAATCCATAACTTAAACTAACAATGTGGTTTGCAAACGGTTTGAAGAATTTTGGGGAAAACAAGATACACAATGATAGAGTAGGAAGTAGAAACTATGGTACACCATCCTTAAATAGTTTGGAAATATTTTGTTGCTCTCATTAATTTTTGGTGAATTAAGTAGTGACTGAATCTATAGTTTTAAAATGACTTAGTATTCTGCAAGACTGACTAGAGGTTAGTGGTGCCCTGCCGTGCTTTTTTAACAGGAAGTTCAACTTAGGCTCTAGTCTCTAAGTTATTATGTTATCATGTATTTGTTAAGCTTAGTTGTTTTGTCCCAACTCTAAAGTGTCACAGCTAAAAACTGAATGGGAAACAAAAAAAGCCATATTTCCCCAGTGTGTTTACTGAGGAGAAAATAAAATAGCTGCATAGTTTTTGTTGGTTTAAATTGATCCGAAAGTTAATTAGACTGGTAAATGTGTGTTCAGATTTTGTAAAACTCGCTAACTCCATATATTAACTTGCGTTTGCAGAATTCTACAGCAGAAGTTAAAGATTTATATATAGTGAAATTAAATTTAAATCAAGAGTTTTTAATAATATTAGGAATTAGGATATTTAATGATGTCAGCAGTAAGATGTTGATGTATAGATTGTGCTCCTCCTACCCAGGATGAAAAAGTTATTGAATGTATGGAATTCTCTATCTGCACACTCTCATTACGGAATATGTCATTTAGTACCTCTTATTCTACAGATGAGGACCCGAGGCTGAGAGGCGGCCTCGTGTAGTGGCAGGAACATGGGCTAGGAAGGCGGGCAGGGGTTCGAGGCTTACTTCCTTCATTACACAGCTCTGTGACTTTGGGGTAGTCAGTTAATTTCTCTGAAATTTATTTTTCCCGTGCCTTGAAATGAGCATAAATAGGTTTGTTTTGAGAATGAAATGAGATGTATTGAAAAGTACCTGATGATCAATAAATATGAGGGTTTTTTCTTCCACTTCTTTGTTTCTTCCTGGGTTTGGTTGCTGAGAGTCTGCTTTTCTAATGCTTATATTTGTGTTCAATTTAGCCAGCTAATGAAAAAAGACTAACAGCATGCTCTTTAGATTCAAATGGAAACACTTTGGCTAGTAAATATTTATTTAATTAAAAGTACTTTTACTAATTTTTCTCAGTTTGTCTCATAATAGGCTCTTAGTATATATTTATTCCTAATATATTTATATGTACTTCATTGTTATAAGATGGCCTGATAATTATGTCCACTTATTTCTTTAGATGTAGAAGATCTTTATGAAGCGGTGTCAGTCCCACTCTCATACCCCAATGGACTCAGTGAAAATACATCTGTTGTTGAAAGATTGAAGCATATGGAAGCCAGGGCTCTGTCTGCCGAAGCTGCGTTAGCTAGAGCACATGAGGATCTGCAAAAAATGAAGTACTTTATCAATCTTAGAGAAAATTAATTGTTTAGATCCCTAAAATAATACGACTAATAACAAGGTAGAATATGGGCAACATTTCATCTACTGGAAAGCACATTGTAGATATTTAATTTTAGTAATACTAAAGATACACAACATTTTTATATGTTGTGGATATAGTCGATTAACATAAAATTCTGTAGTTTTACCTGTTCTCATAGACTTCTTTATAATTATTTCTGTACTAATGGCAATTGCTCTGGGGAGTGTTGTTGTCTTGAGTGCTTTTGTTCTTTGATATGCTTTCCTTTGAATTACCCTGTTTCTAGTAGATTTCTCCATTTTACTTAGGTTTGGGGAAAATACAGGGTTGAAAGTTTGTTTTTAAAGGATCAAAATATAATTACAATGTCGTATTTAATCAGAAAACCAGATACATTGGACTGTTTTCTCCGGTGGGTAAATTAGCGTTCTGCTGGCTTAGTACTTCTCAGAATTTATGTGCTTACGAACCACCTGGGGATCTTGTTAAAGTGGGTTCTGATTCAGGAGGTCTGGAGCAGGGCCTGAGGTTCTGCATTTCTGCCAGCTATACCTCCAGCTTTGCCTGTTGGATTTGTAAGTTGATTGCTGTTGCCTGAGTATCCACTTGATGGTTTGCCAGAATGTCCAGCAGGAAGGATAGTATAGCTGATTGTAGGTCCCCTTCCCTGTTTCTGAGATTTTATGCTGGCTAACCTAGTAACCAACAACAGCTCTACTATCTGCCTCTTTGCACTTCTCCCCCATGCACAGCTAATAGATTCTTAATGTGTCGTGATCAGAGAGGGAACTGAATTTTAGAGCTGGAGTGGATGATGTTGGTGTATGTAAATAATTCTCAATTTGGGTCCACTTTCTGCTCATATAATGCTTCCATGAGGTAATATGGTTTTAAAGACTATTAATGGCATTGAAATATACTACATTGATTCACGGCTAAAATAAGATTTTGGAGCATTAGAAATAATAAAGCTGAATAAATGTAATGTGCTTATTTTGTTCAGTTGCAAGCTGTAAACACCTGTAATCTGTGGTGGGCAGTGCTTTCGCGGTTGCAGGAGGAGTGCTTACAGCTGGCTTTGAATGTACCATTGCTTAAGATCCAGCAGGGGGAGCTTTCAGTTGCTTAAGATAGCGTGTGATTTAGAAGGCTCATCACACTCCACACTCCACTCCCTCCCCCTTCTCTTCCTCAACCTCTAGCCTTTCCTTTTTTCATGGTCCAATAAACCTGTCTCAAGGGTGTATTTCAAATTGATTACAGACAATTTGCTCAGGATTTTGTGATGAACGCAGATGTCAGAACCTGCTCGTCATCTACTACTGCCATTGCAGACCTCCAGGAGGATGAGGATGGTGTTTATTTCAGCTCATACGGGCATTATGGGATACATGAAGAAATGCTAAAGGTTAGAGAAGAGCACGAATGCACCAAATCTGTCCTAAAGGAAAAATAGAGTAAAACAGGTTCTTGATACTTATGCTGTAGGAGAACTGCTTTTTTATGAGGACTGCTTTTTAAATCTCTGTAGTACTTGATAGCTCATCTTATGTTGAAAAGATTACAGAGGCATCAAAGTCATTGTAAATTCCATTTGATATCATTATTAATCTTTATTATGAAATTACTTTTTGCTTGAAATAGAACGTTGGAGAAAACAACTGATGAGTTTAGTCTTCTCAAGAGCAACTGTTAAATAGGAACAAATAAATTATATATTTGCCTTTAATGTACAAAGGAAATGATTAATTTTAGTGTTTTAAATAGCAATACTGACTTGAGTGTGGGCAAATAATTCTTTGCTACAAAGTTTAATTATAAATAATTCTCACAATTGTTATGGCATAATATTTTTACGTTTGAAATCATTGATGTATAGAGGAATTTCCTAAATTGGTCGAGTCATATATTTAAATTTGGTTTTAATTTTTGGAATGAGAATGTTTATATGAACTACAAGTAGATTTCTAGCTATACCTAGTATTTAAACACTTTATCGTGTATTATATTGTATATTATAAAATAGCAAAATGTAATTTTTTAACTGAGTAAAACTGAAAGTATGTAACTAGAGTGAAACAAATGTTGCGATATAACAATTATTGAAAATTTTAGATGTTTATGAATTTTAGATGCCACTGCCTTTTCTTCTCTTGAAACCCACCAGCAAAAACTTCCTTCCTAAATCCTTCCTCAAAAGATTGTTTTATTTTGTGGAATCCCGAAGATTATGTTCCCCTGAAACATGTGCACTGAAAATACCCAGGGATATTTAATAACATGTATGTATGTATTTTATTGAGTCAGTTTTGCAGGATCACGGGGTGGAGGTTTGCTAATTAATAGTGATTGTCTTTACTTGGGGCCTTTTAAAGCAATGGCATGTCATTTCTTTACTAATGACATGTCATGGTTGTGCTTTTTCTTGTCACTTGGGTAATGGCATAGCATTACAAATAACAGTTATCTTATTATAAGTAATAAGTTATTTTAAGCCCAGGGTGAATTTGTTTAAAGGAAATTGACTTACTCTATTTTCTTTGTTAAAATTAATTTTATTGTGTCTAGAATATTTTCTTTAAAGGAGTTAATCTAAGCCTGCATTTGTCATTTTAAATCACTCCATCAATCTAAGTTCCATGAGCCTTTACTGCCTTTGGTATGGAAATTGTGCTGGGTTTTCAGACAGATAAGCTGACTGAGACTCCCAGTAAATGGTGCATGTGCGTGTCCTCACTGCAGTTGTCAGGGAGATCCAGTTTGAGTACTTGTTTCCTCATCTCTGTCCTGGACACTTGCAGCTGTGTATCAGTAGCTGGAGGGTCTGCACACTTGATTGGGTATTGTTAAGTCTTTGTGATGTACATGGAGATTTAACAAGTTCCAGCTTGAAGTTTCCAGTGCTCTCTCTTCCTTTTTAGAGAATCACTTAATCCTTATTAATACAATTCTCTCTGTCTTAGTTCCACTTAGCTGTTATACAGTGTAATTACCTCCCTTTGGAAATGACTGAAGTGTTCATAGGAAATATGGACATATTCCATTCAAAAAGAACTGTGCATCCATTTTATATTTTGCTAAGTTATGTACTGTGGATGAATATGAAATGTGCCTTATATTAAGCAATATTTCTTCTGTTTCTTATCAAAACAGTTCTTAGCACACATAATGTGTTCAAGGTTGTACTACTACCAGAATCTCTCCTGATCTTTATAAATAATCTTAAATTGAGAAACCATATATATATAGGACTTTTTTTTTTTTTTAAAGATTGGCACCTGGGCTAACAACTATTGCCAATCTTCCTTTTTTTTTTTTAAGGATTGGCACCTGGGCTAACAACTGTGGCCAATCTTTTTTTTTTTTTTTCTGCTTTATCTCCCCAAACCTCCCCCCCCCGCCCCCCCCCCGCCGTACACAGTTGTATATCTTAGTTGCATGTCCTTCTAGTTGTGGGATGTGGGAGGCTGCCTCAACGTGGCCTGATAAGCAGTGCCATGTCCGTGCCCAGGATCCGAACCCTGGGCCACCGCAGCAGAATGCGCGAACTTAACCACTTGGCCATGGAGCCAGCCCCTAGGACTTATTTTAATGCTTAGAATTTTCCTTGCTTTTTTTTTTTTTTTTTTTGGTGAGGAAGATGGGCCCTGAGCTAACATCTGTCACCAATCTGCCTCTTTTTGCTCGAAGAAGATTGTCCCTGAGCTAACATCTGTGCCAGTCTTCCTCTACTTTGTATATGGGATGCCACCAAAGCGTAGTTTGGTGAGTAGTGTGTAGGTCCATGCCTGGGATCCGAACCTGCGAACCCCAGGCCTCTGAAATGGAGCATATGAACTTAACCACTACGCCACTGGGCCGGCCCCTGGCCTTGCTTTTATAGGAATATTATTTGTATCTTTTGTTGCTTAGTCTCCGACATTTTAATGACACTATTTTGGCATATATTGTGATTATAATTATAAATAAAGGTAGTTCGTGATTTTATTTTTTGGAGTTAAGATGAAGATAACTTTTGTGAATTCCAGAGATACAGTTGATAGAGGGATAGATTACATGAACTTTCAAAATCCTTTGCCACATTATCTTTCTGAAGAAGAGTCATTGTTATCTAATGTTAGAAATCTGAGATGCGTCACTCTTTTTTTTCCTCCAAGGAAAACATTGTTCATCCGGGTGAACATTTATCACAGATCATAGTACGGTTAAATAAGTTTTCTTTACTGCATTCTCCTCATTGAATCTGCAGCTAACTCATGCATTCTGTCCACCTTCATGGGCCTGTACATTTAAAACTTACTGTTATTTATATATGTAAAATTTATAGTATATAACTGTTCTCTTGTCTTTAGTCTCATCTTGAAGTTTTTTACATTTTACATTTATAAGAATAATTCCACGACAGTTTACTAGTCTTAAAAGATTATCTTGCTTCTTAGTATTGGAGCTCTAATTTTATTATTCTTTTGTGTTTTTTAGTTTTAATAGGTTAGTGCAAAAGATAATTTTTAAATTTCTGTCTGTTACCTTACTTTGTATTAAAGTGTTAATCTTTTGCTAGAGTAAGTATTTTTAAATGGTTATGAAGGCTAGTCTTTTATTTGCTTGCATTTTCACGTTTAGTGGATTTTTCTTTTAAAAATTCTGTTATTAAATTGAAGCTCTGCTATGTCCAAGGCACCGTGTTTGGTGTACTCTGGATTTCCTTGCACCAGGGTGAGCCTGTGAGCAGAAGCAGGTGGACGTATAGAAGGACCTGGGTGAGGGGCTGAAGCTGAGCCGGGCAGCAGTGCGTGGACTAGAGCAGAACTTGGCATGCTGGTGGTTAAGTTGGAGCAGAGTGACTGCCTCCTTGACTGAGGTGCACCCTTTGTAGGTTTTGTTATGTCAGCAGAAATCACTGGTTGTAGTGTAAGAAGAATATAAAAATGGTTAAAATGTAGGAAATGGTCTTTTTTTTTAAGACAGCTTTAAAATTAATTAGTTAATTAATTAAATTGTTAATTAGTTAAATTGTAAATTTATTTAAACATTAGATTCTTTTAGGAATTTTTAAAATAACTTTCAAGGAAAGATTTAACAAGCCTGATTTAAAATTTTGTTTGTAAAGCATTTAAAAATAATTTTGTTAGAAAGCCTGGAATTAATTATGGAATTCCCCCTTTTTAGATCCAGGAATTAAGTAAAACAACTTGCCTTTTAATTTAAGACCTCCTTTATAAAAATATTTTTTTAAATCCCAGCATTGGCATAAAAATTTTTTGAGGGATATGGATTGTATAAATTTTGATCTTGTAGCATTTGGTGTAACTGCTTTCTTCCCACCTAGTGGGAAAACCAGAACCGGCATTCCTGGTCGGAGAGACTTTATCCTACTCAATTTACTTGCCGGGCAGCAGAGCCCCTTGCTGCTGGATTTGCTGTCAGTGTCTGTCTCAGCTGAGGTGATTTAAAGGGAATCAGCTCAGTTCATGAACCAGCATAAATGTTAGCATTCACTGCCCGCCTCGGTCCCAGGTCACGTGAGGCTGCAGGTGTGGAAGTCTTGTAATGGGGCTGCGGGCCTCAAATGATTTAGGCTTATAGGCTCTTAAGCATCATCTCCTACTACAGGCATTTCTACGAACAAAACAGGATTATAAGTCAGATAGGTGCTGATCAGTGACTTTCTTAGAAAAACCATACTCAGTTTAGCTTCATTTTGCGTATGTAACTATAACTTAGACATTTATCTATTTTGTTTTTTTCTCTCATATTTTAACATAGCTGTACTAAACACAATGTTTTTCTCTGTCCACCCTAGGACAAAGTACGAACAGAAAGTTACCGAGATTTCATATATCAAAACCCACACATCTTCAAAGACAAGGTGAGTAGCATGGGGTATAGAATGATACATTTCAGTTGTGCATCATGTCCATCTTGGGCAGTAGCGGTGCTCTCTTGGGTCGTCATTGATAGCAGATGATTTAATGTCCTCTGGCTTTATTTCGTGGGAGACTTTTATGATGCTGTTCTGTGGTGCTGAGTGCTGATAACAGAAATGCTGGGTGGTGCTGTCATTCCATATGCTCTTTCTTTACATTGAGGTTCATTAATTACAGTGACATAGTTTAGTTAAGCTTGGCTTATCCAGATAATTTTCTTTAAATCACATGTTTGGTTTGCTGTGATTCCTCTGAATTTCACATGTATCAGATAAGCCCCACACCAAAGCGCACTGTTTTTTTTTTTTTAGATTTTATTTTTTTCCTTTTTCTCCCCAAAGCCCCCCGGTACATAGTTGTATACTTGTAGTTGTGGGTCCTTCTAGTTGTGGCATGTGGGATGCCGCCTCAGCATGGTGTGATGAGCAGTGCCATGTCCGTGCCCAGGATTCAAACCGACGAAACACTGGGCCGCCTGCAGCGGAGCGTGCAAACTCAACCACTCGGCCACGGGGCTGGCCCCAAAGCACACTTTTAATTATTATTCTAGTTTCTGTTATTAGTTAAAAATTAATAATTTTAAGATGATACTGATAGGGTCAAATACTGTAAGGTTAAATTTATTTTATGTACTTTCTTTTAAGACTTCATTTATTTACCCCTTTATGAGACACTTTATGTTTTACCATTAGTCTTAATACTGCCTCAGGTTGTTTCAGAGATGATCTTTCACACTGTGTGTGTGTGTGTGTGTGTGTGTGTGTGTGTGTGTGTTTGAAATTTATGTTGTTTTTCCTCCCTTGTGAATTTTTTTTTATTTTTTTTCTTTACTTCCTCCTCCATTTTCTCTCTACATTAGCGTGGTTCCTTAAAAGTTCAGGTTTTCTGTTTGTTCCTCACTAGAAATTAGTCCACTAATTTGGTCAAGAATATTATCATCTCTGCCACTTACATACCTTTGCTTGGGAATTTTCCCCTACTCTTTCCACTTAAAGAACATGTATATTGATAGCTTATCATGTTTTTAATACCCCTTTCACTTCCATTTTATTTATTTTTTTATTTTGAGGAAGATTAGCCCTGAGCTAACATCTGCTGCCAATCCTCCTCTTTTTGCTGAGGAAGACTGGCCCTGAACTCACATCCATGCCCATCTTCCTCTACTTTATATGTGGGACGCCTGCTACAGCATGGCTTGCCAGGTGGTGCGTAGGTCCACACGTGGGATCTGAGCCCACGGACCGAGGGCTGCTGAAGTGGAACGTGCGGACTTGACCGTTGTGCCGTCGGGCCAGCCCCCTCACCTCCATTTTGAAAGATTCTTCTCTAATTTTATTTCATGGGCTTCACGTGATATTGCAGCAGTGACTATTTTAAAAAATCCGTTTTCCTGATTTTTGTATTGTTTGGAATTTAATAAAGATTGCCTTTTCGTTTTCCACATCTGCTTCCTAAGAGCATGTTTCACTTGTAACTTAGCTGACCCAGACACTTGGAGTTTATGTGGAGCTCTGCTGTCTTTTGGCTCGAGCATTACCCGTCATGAAAGGTTTATGATGGTGTGTTTCTTTGTTTTTGCTGATTCCCACTATAGACAGATAGATGATTTCATTTTTAAAATCTTAGTTTTTGTCAGTTCTTTGTACTTAGCTCTTTTGTATGCTTTTTATATGTTGTTGCAGCAGAGACTAATAATTTTTTTATGGTTAGGTTTTATATTTGCACACAAGTGCTGGAAACAATTTATTTAGTATGTGTGTCTAGAAAACAGCTTTATTTCCAGTGAAGCAAGTGTGTTACTATTAAAAAGTTTGCTTTACGTTTGTAATTCGATTATGCTCATATTTTTATTTTTTCCTTAATATGTTGCATAGAAAGTAAGCACGTGCTGCTCTTGGAATCGCTAGTCCTGCCTTGATTCTTAGGAACCAGCTGTATAATAATTTTAGGCAAGTAATTAATCTCTTTGGGCCTCATCTGTAAAACGATTTTTTAAACCCTTCTTGTTTTAAAATTTTATGACTTTTGTTGTTATAAAAGCACCGTCATTGCCTTTCTTTGAGTCATCTTTTCCAAATGCTTTTTGATATGAATATCATAAGAATTTGTCAGGTGAAAGTAAGTTACAAGTTTCTTTTCAATGTGCTCCAGAATAGACTTTTGTCTTATAATACATAAGAAAATACTGAAAAGGCACTTAGTAATCATAAGATTAAACATTGAGAAATTATTTACAGTCATGTGCTGCCTAACATTTCAGTCAGCGACAGACCACGTATCGGATGGTGGTCCCATAAGACTGTAATTATGAATATGTCTGTGTGTATGGAGTACATCTTACTGGGTTCATGGACCTGAACACAGTCACTTTCTGTTTCTAATTTTTTATCTGTGACAGTATTATAGAAATGCTGTATGTATTATACATTTTCAGACAAAATACATGACCGTGGAAAACATATCATGTTTATTTTATGTTCTGTTTACTCCTCTTACTGACGAGATTAAATTTACCAGAGTCAGAAAAGGGCTTAGTAGTAAATTGGGAGTGTTTTTCCTTGGTAGTTTGCCCAAGATCTTTTCATTTAATGTATTAATGTATAATTAGTTTCGCTTGGCATTTATGGTTTCTCAAAAATACATAGTCATGCATCGCTTAACGACAAGGATATGTTCTGAGAGATGCGTCCTTAGATTTTATTGTTGTGCGAACATCATAGAGTGCATTTACGCAAACCTGGATGGTATGGCCTACTGTACACCTAGGCCACATGATACTAATCTTATGGGACCACCGTCGTATATGCGGTCTGTGGTTGATTGAAACGTTGTGTGGCACATGACTACTGTAATGTAAAATACATGTATCAATTTTTAACTCTGTAAGCACAGTCAAGGTATAATTTTCTGTAATTAGTAATATTTACTCTAGAGCTTTCATATTTTTAAATGATTTGGGATACTTTATTATACTATGGCTGCAGATTTAGAAAATATATTACCATATATTTAAATAGCATTTGATAGTTTATCGATTACTTTCAAACATGTCTCGTTGTGACTGTGCAATACACCTAGAACTAGGCAGGGCCAGTATTCATTTCCATTTTACACGTGAGGAAACTTGAAACCAATAGGTTAATTGACTTGCCCTAAAACCGGCAACTAAAAAAAAGAAATCTGAGGGTTTTTGCTCCTAGTCCGGTGCTCTTAACCCTGTGCCACTACTCTTTGAACACCATTATGTTAAAATAGAATGAGTAAGTAATTAGGGTGGGGTCCATTAGTTACATTTTAATTCACACTCTTTTTCATGTATAGGTCATGTGATTTCTGTGTCCCATGACAGAATATGTTCATGAAATTATTGAAATATAGTTCTTCTAACAAATGTATGAAATAACGTGTTTTTCTAAGTTTTATCGTCATTGTTTTTGTTTGCTTTATCTCCCTTAGGTAGACAAGCTTCATATCACAACACTAACTTCTGTATTTTATTATGTAGTGCATTGTAGAGATTTATTTTTGAAAAGGTACTTAAAATGTGTTTCTTTTCCTTTCCTTCCTTTCTCCCTCTATCCATCCCTTCCTGCCTCCTTTCCTTCATTCCTTTCTTATGTTTCAATTCACAAGGCTCCTGTGGAGGCCATATGGTTTCTCAGATTTAATTTAACTTTGCGTGGCATTTAATCATGTTATCACCCACTCATAATTAACTTGTATTTGTAGTCCATTGAAGAACTTCACAGTTAGGCACTTTCTTTATGCTTTTGATTGTTATGTACAGTTAAAATTGATTCAATTTTTCTTTCTTTCTTTGTGTGCTTTTTTTTTTTTAGAAAAAGTGAATCAAATTCCTTCATTATTTTGTAAAATAATGTTAGTTTATTCAGTTATCATTTCTACCTCTTCTATCAAGTTTTAGTTTATTTGCCCAGTTACCTAATTCTGAGTTAGATGTAATAAATAATTAACATACAATTAAAAATATAGTTTAAATATGGGCTTTAGAAGGAGGTTGACCTGTGTTTGAATGCTAGCTTTGCAAATGAACAGCTGTATGGTCCTGCATCTGTTACTTTCCCTCTGAAGCTCACTTTCCTCATTGGCAAAATGAGGAGTAAATAAGAATTATATATATTTGCATATGTATTTAAAATATGTGTGTGTGTGTATATGTATAGTCTTACAAAAGAACACATACTCTAATTGGAGTATATGATACATATCCTTCTATACTTATCTTTCTTCACTCAGCAATTTCCTTACAGATAATTTCTTATTAACATTCTTTTAATGGCTCATGTATCCAATGTAAGAATGTCCATAAGTTGATTGTTGTCGATAAGTTAGATCAATGCTGCATATAAAAATGTAAAATGTTAAAAACCTTTTTATATATGTGAGAGTACAATAATAAGATAAATTCCTAGCATTGGCCTCCCTGGGTCAAAAAGGCTGTACCCTGCATGGTGTTAGTGCTGCCAGCTTGTCTTTTCATCAACTCTGTGTGAGCGTGGATATTCCCAAACACCATTGCCGAAGCGCCGTGTGATTCCACACTGACCTTTATAATTTCTTAGTTTTGCGAATATCTCATTTCAGTGAAAGTTTCTGGGAGCTTATCACTTAGTGTTATGTTGTATATATTTTTCCATTTTATTATCATTCTATGCCATATAATATTTCAAATTGATGTACTCTAACCATAATGTAAACATATATGCTATGCACTATAGTATTGCCTTGCTGTTCTAGTTAATACCTTTTATTTGTAACTTTAAAAAAATATTTTAAGAGCCAGCCCTGATGGCCTAGTGATTAAAGTTTGGCAGTTGCTGCTTCTGTGGCCTGGGTTCGCTTCCCAGTCATGGAGCCACACCACCTCTCTGTCACCTGCCATGCTGTGGTGGTGGCTCACATAGAAAAACTAGAATGACTTACAACTAGGATATACAACCAGGTACTGGGGCTTTGGGGAACAGGAACAAAAAAGATGATGATTGGCAACAGGTGTTGGCTCAGAGCAAATGTTTCCCTGCAAAAAAAAAATTAATTTTGTTTGTAGTGATGTTGTATAGCTTGCATCTTAAAATTCTTCACTTTCTTGTGTGTGAGAGTAGTGATGTTAAAATGTGCTGACTCACTCAAACAGGCCACATGTGCAGGAACAGTCACATTCTCCCTTTGAAACCATATGGGCCTCGTCCTTCTTGGAGGGGCAGAGAATAGGAGACAGGGCAGTAGCCTTTGACAGCTTTACATCTTCAGTGGAAATGAGGCTGCTTAGGTTTTCTCTCTTCTGGAGACAGTCCTGGTAAATTATATTTTCAAGATCTAATGAAAGGAAGGACTCCACTTAAAATAGTAAACAACACAGAAGATAAAATGCATAGGAACAAACTTAACTAATAATGTGCAGGACTTAGATGAAAAAGATTTTTTAAAAAACAACTCCTGAAGAACATAACAGATGATTTAAACAAATTGAAAGTCATATCATGTTCTTGGATAAGAAAACTCAAAATAAAATTGTCCATTTTCCCTAAATTAATTTATAGTTTTCGTTCTATCCCCATAAAAATGCTAAGACTTTTTAAAAAATCTAGACAAGCTGATCCTCTTGTTCTTATGGAAAAATAAATCTACAAAATTATCCAGAAATGTTGTGAAAAAATTTTGCAGTGAGGATGGACCAGCCTTACTAGATATTAAAATATTCTGTAAAGCGTCTATAATTAGAATAATTACTGGCACATGATTATATAGATTAATGGAGCAGAATATAAATCCGGAAATAGACTAAACTACACAAAAAAATTTTAGTGAATGTTAAAGGTCCCTGTCTTAGTCCATTCGGGTTGCTGTGACAAAAATACCATACATTGAGTGGCTTATAAACAACAGAAATTTCTTTCTGACAGTTCTAGAGTCTGGAAAGTTCGAGATCAAGGCACTGGCTGATTTGGTGAGGGCCTGCTTCGTGGTTCATAGACTTGCCTTCTTGCTGTTTCTTCACGTGGTGGAGGAGAGCAAGGGCTCCCTCTGGAACCTCTTTTGTAAGAGTACTAACCCCATTCATGAGGGCAGGCCTCATGACCTCATCACCTCCCACAGGCCCCAGTTTCTAATGTGATCACCTTGGGGATTAGGATTTCAGAATCTGAATTCCGGGGGACACAAGCATTGAGACCATTGCAGTCACATATCAAATCAGTGGGGGAAACACAGACTATTTAATAATGTGTTGGGACAGTTTGTTAGCCATCTGAACAGAAGTAAAGTTGGAACCATCCCTGTTAGTGTATACCATGATAAAGCAAGCTATATTAATGAAACCATAAGTGTACTAGAAGGAAATGTATGAGGATGAAAGAGAATGAGATAGGGAAGAATAGGGAAAGTCAATCTAATTATGATCGAAAACCAGAAAAGATTGATGAGTTTGACTGTATATAAAGAATTTCTGCGTAGCAAAAATCACTGTAGGCAGATTCAAAAGATGAAAATACCTGCTGAGAGACAGCATTACAAGTCATATTATAGAGGTCTCATCTCCTTAACTTAGAAAGAACTCCTGTAAGATTTCATAAGAAAAATTTGATTAGATATTTAATAAGAAAACGACCAAACAACTCAGTGGAAAAATGGAGAAAGGCTGTAAGTTGACGGTTCACATAAAAGGAACTACAGGTGGCTCCACAACATAGGGAGTGATGCTAAACCTTAGGTTAATGGAAATGCATGTTAAAATTAGACCAACATATATTATTTTGTACTTGCCAGATTGAAAGAAATCCGAAAGTTTGATTATATGTTTTATGGGCTAGTCTCACTATGAGGAAATTGAATCTTACGCATTGCTGATTAGAGTCTTTGTGAGTAGGATTGCTCCATGGAGGATAATTTGGTTATGTCTAGCAGAGTTATAAATAAGTATATTCTTTCTGACTCAGTGTTTTCACTTCTAGGAATATATTCTCTAGATTTACTCATGTACGAAAAGGGTGAGATATGAAGTTATTTACAGCCTTGATTGTCATAGTAAAATTTCAGAAGCTACCTAAATGTTCATCGATAGAGAACTGGATCAGTAGCTTATGGTACAGCCATAATATGGAATCCTAGACGGCTACATAAGAGAATTTCCGTAAACTGATACAGGAAGATCTCTAAATTATATTGTTAAATTAAAAAGCAATATGTATCACAGTGGGCATAATATGCTTCCATTTGTGTGAAAAGGAGAAGGAAAACATATTGTATTGCATTGTATAGGCATAAAAATTTTCTTGAAGGATAAGAAATATACTTTTTGGTGTTTAAACTGTGTGAATATATTACCTAGGAAAAAGTTAAATTATTTTTGAACAATGTAGTAGATTCTTAATTCTAGTTCTGTTTTTCTTACAGTAGCTTCTCATTGCTCAGAATAAAATCCAAAGGCTCTCTGATCTGGCGCCTGCTTAATCCTGACGTCACCTCCAGGCAGCCTCTTTCTCACCCAGTGCAGCCCCAGTGGCCTTCTTGCTTTGCCTGGAATCTTAGATTCTTGTTTATTCTTTGTCTCCCCCACAAGATTGTAAGCTCCAGGGACTTGGTCTTGTTTGTTGCTGTACCCCATCACCATGATCAATGCCTGCTCAGGGAATGCTTATAGTAGAAGAGAACTGAAATAATTTCATATTTGGGGACAAGTCTCTAGCATTTTAGGCCATTGATAATGGAAGACTTGAGGCACTACAGTTTTTAGTAATTTCACAAAGTAGTGTACCTCTGAGTGTTTTACTTAATGTGTTTCCTTGGTAATTTGGTTTTGTTTGTTTTACTGTGAACTGAGTAGGTTTCACTATTAATATTCTGAGAACCATAGGAAATTCTTGACTTAGAAATAATTGCTCCCTACCTGTCCCCAATGTCATCTTAAACTTTGGTTTTTTTAATTACTTCCCCAATGGTAATGAGTATCATTTTTAAAACTTAAATTCTCAAGTTGCTGGATTCTAGAAGCGAACTTGTTTTTATTATACTTGTATTGTTAAGATGAGTTGAATATTTAATTTTGGAAGTGGAGGGGGATATGACAATATTCTGCATCCATGACTCCTTTATAACCATTTTTTAATTGTGCTGCTTAGGTTAATTCTGGCCACTCAAACTTGAGACAGTTTATTTCTATTAAAATTTAGAATTACTCAGCCTAAATTAGAGCATGCAGTAGGGAAATTAAAAGCAGAGAATACTTCCCTGTTAAGAAATCTGTGGAAATTGTTTATTTCATATAAAACATCTCTTAAATTTACATTCTTGCACCTGATTGCAGCAGACTATGACCGAATATGCTGTTATGAATTTAAAACAACCCATAGTATATCTTCAGTTTCCCGAAATAGAAATTATTACCATATTTGATCACTAGTTTTAAAATTTTGTGATTTATTCCTAACCAGAAATACCATAATATATGGCTGGAATTTAAAATGTTAGACCTTTTCGATAACATCTGTTTTTTTGTTACACCAGGTAGTTTTGGATGTTGGTTGTGGAACTGGAATTCTCTCTATGTTTGCTGCTAAAGCCGGGGCCAAGAAGGTTCTTGGAGTTGATCAATCCGAAATACTCTACCAGGCAATGGATATCATAAGGTAGATGCATGTTAAGACTCGATTTCAGATTATTTTTAAATGTGATGGTTACCAGGTTTTCTTGTCTTTAACAGCTGTCTAATGCACACTCAGGACATTTGTCTTTTAATAAAAATTCATTCTGGAATAATAAGATTTTAAGTTGAATTGAACTAGACATGTTTGAGCTGTGAATAATCTTTTCACAGTTCTCATTGATGGGAACTGTTTTTATATACCTTTCTGTCTTTCCAGATATGGCTATAAATAGGCATTATAATATAAAATTAGAAATAATTGACATAAAAGCTAATATTGTTGGGGGACTCTACAAAACTAAATATTTATGTCAGTAATATTTCTTTTAGCAAATAGCAGTTAGACTAAAGACTAAGGGTTGTCTGTCTTTTTCTTTTTTGACACTAGCCCTTGTGCCTCCTTCAAATTAAGATAAGTAAATTCCAGAACAGTTACAAACAAGGCAGAGTGGATTTACTTTGTCTCCTAAAACTTAGTTTTTTTCCCTAAAAATATCTCCTCTCTTTAAGGAGTTAAGTTACTTAGGTTCATCGATGGATGATTGATTTTACGATGGCTTATGTCCTAAAAGAGGGCCTTTATTCGAACTACAGTTGATAGAACTAGATTTCTTTAGCCATGTACTTAACAAAAGCACCTTACATTTGGAACTTAGGAGTAATTTCTAGAATAAATAATTAATAGGCTTCTCAACAATTCTTTTTTTTCCCAACTTTATTGAGATACAGTTGACACATGACTTCGTGTAAGTTTAAGGTGTACAGCGTGTTGCTTTGATATAGTTGCATACTGCAAAATGATTACCACTGTTGCCTTGGCTGATGCCTTCATTGCGTCACATAACTACTGTTTCTTTTTTGTGGTGAGAACATTTAAGATCTACTCTCTTAGGAACTTTCAGGTGTATAATTATTATTAGCTGTAATCACCGTCTTGTATGTTAGATCCCCAATGATTCTTAAATGGTCCTCCTGTGGATACTTAGGCTCTGTTCTTAAAATTGATTAATGTTAGGGGCTGGCCCCGTGGCCGAGTGGTTAAGTTCGCACGCTCCGCTGCAGGCGGCCCAGTGTTTCGTTGGTTCAAATCCTGGGCGCGGACATGGCGCAGCTCATCAAACCACGCTGAGGCAGCGTCCCACATGCCACAACTAGAAGGACCCACAACGAAGAATATACAACTATGTACTGGGGGGCTTTGGGGAGAAAAAGGAAAAAAATAGGATCTTTAAAAATAAAAAAAATTAATTAATGTTGGTCTTTTCTGATTAGTATACAATTTAAATAGAATCATGTAAAGTGTTTACAGTTTTAGATTTTATTGTATTACGTAGAAGTATAATGTTGAGGTTAAGAGCACAAGGTTTTTGGGTTAGGCTTGGGTTTAAGTCCTTGCTCTACTGCGTATCAGTTGTTTGAACTTGAGTTAAATCATGTCCAACTTCTTTGAGACCTCAGTTGTTTCACTGTCAGAGTGAAAATAATAATGACTACCTCAGATGGTTATGAGTAGGATAAATGAGTTACAAGTAAGAAATGCATGTAAATCTCTTTGGTATATTTCCTGGCATGTATTAAGTATTCAAAAGTTAATTACTGTTATTATTGACAAGTATCACATTAATGTTTGTTAAAAAATTACATATACCTTGCTTAGATTTTTCATAGATAGTGGTTTGCTTATGATTTTCCTGTTGGAGAACATCCATAATCTAGTAAAGTTGTTGCCTAGTTCTTACGATATCATTAGGTACAATATCATCATTTTTGGGGTTCCATAAGGAGCATCCTTGCTTGTACATTGTCATCCAAACGAATGTGAGAACTGTTGCAAAGAACAGATTGTTTTAGAAGAATTATCAAAAATTTATTGTTGATAGTAAGATTATGGTAAGATATTTCTATTAGAAGTTCTAATCTTATGAAAGATCATGTCCATTTATGTATTAATTTGTCATTTTTGATTTCTACGCAGCTAGACTAGATGTGCTCTCATTTTAATTTCTTTGTGGAAGAAAAGGAAAAGGACAGTGGTAACACTCATTTTATTTTGTGTTGTTGTGTTTCTTTTTATTTCACAGAAGTCCTGATTCCCAGTGGCTTTTTAGAAATATGTTTATACAATGATTATGTTCAAATTCATTGTGTATAAAATTTAATGCTGGAGTGCATGGAACTTTTGCATGAGTACATTTATTGAAACTGACTTAGCACTAAATTTTAGGTACTTTGATTTAAACATAAAATTGCTAACATTGATTTAATACTTTCTCTTGCATTTCCTTTGAGGTCGGTAATTACAGTATATTGTTATCCTTATTTTAGAGATTAAGAATTTGAGGCACAGAGATTAAGTAACTCTCCTTATTTGTAGTGGAGCCAGGATTAGATGCCAGGCAGCCTAGCTCCACAGTCCTTCCTCACAGCCCATTTACTCTGCTGTGTCTCCATTTAACTACTTAGAGGCCAGGAATTGGTTGCATTCAGTAGTTTGCTTTACTTAGAACCCAGAGGTTGAAAAGCAAGCCTTTTTGTTCAGGATAAGTTTTATTTTGGTTAAGCCAACATTGTACTGCTTCTTCAGAAATGTTCTCCTTTGCCTTTTTAATTGTGAAAAGATAGCTATTTCCATAGTGTTCATATGCATCTCCTCCTTGTCTTCCATTCGGAAATTGAAATTTACACTGGGATGAAATAACCTCCGTTCTTCTGTTTGTGAATCTGTCTGTAAAAGAATATGTAGGGAACAGTTCATCGTTCATTTCCCCACAGTTTTCTGCCTCCTCCTTCTACCAGTTGAGGAAGCAACATAGAGCATACTTCTCTCCGCATCTGGAGTCACATGACTTGATTTCTCATTTTGGCTTTTTGACTGATTAGCTTTATAATAATGGTGGTTTACTTAAGTTCTTTAGCCCTGGTTTCTTCGTTTATAAAATGAGGTGGATGGTAGTATCTGTCTCATGAGATTGTTGTAAGGATGAAATCCGTTTGGGTGCTCTGTGAAGTGGCTGGCGTGTAACTGCTCACTAGATGTTAGCAGTAATTACAGTCATATTAATTGGTGGTGGTAGTGGTAGCTTTGGCTTGACACCAAATAATACTTTATATTTGTTTGGTTATTTTTCTAAAGTGATCATTTACTGCAGCTATCCCTTCAAAATATGATGACTCTCTTTTCTGCATTCTTTGTATTTCACGGTCTCTATTTTCTCACACCATAAAACTTCAAACTTTAGCCCCTTTTATTCTGTACTCACGCTCCTCCCTTGAAACCTACTCTTAACTTTTCTCTCTTATTGCATGTTGGAGCTTTCTAGAACTGTCACCCATGAGTGAAAACAACTCTTCCACGTGGCAGGCTGTGAGCTCTTTAACTCTCCAAGGCTTCTTTCCCTGTCAGAAATCTGTGCACAGCAGAATTTGTACAAAACTCCATAAGCTTACATCTGTAAAAAACTCTTTAAGTTCTAAAGAATGGATACTTTTTAAATACATGTTTCATTTTTCTTTTAAATATATTCAACTTGCAACCCTGGAATTGTGTTCAAAATAATCGTAAAATAATTTTTCTCTTTTCTTTATTTGAAAAAGAGATCTAATATTTTTAAAGAAATGAGTGTAGAATGGAGTAAGTGTTGGTTTTAATGTAAACTGACATATGTATATATATATATATATATTAGGGCTTAAGAAGGCGGTCAGGCTTGTGGTTCTAAGGTTGCAGACATGAATAAAGCAGAAGATAGATTTTCGAAGATGTGTTAGCGGGAGCAAATAGAACTCCAAGTGATATATGGAAGGAATGAGAAATTGTTTCATATTCTTGCTGTCATACTTCCAACTCTGCAGTGAATGATCATTTAGGAAACATAAACTTACTTGAGGATAGTAAAGCTATTCAGTTGCCAGACAATTTGTATACTGTGTTTACCCTCAGGAAGCAGAGGTAGCTTCTGGTGATATTTTTACCATTCCTCTGGCTGCCTTTGCTTTCTTATGGACTCAGCCATGAAATGGCTCATGATTCAGACTTTTGGATGTTATTGCAGAGGAGTTTTCATGAGAAGGTTGATCCATCATACGGCTACAATGCAGTACTTTCAATCTCAGAATGGCATTAAAGATGCAGTCTTTTATATTGCCTGTGTCTAGAATATTGTTAGAAATGAAACATTAGGAAAAGCCTAGAGAATGTTTTGTTCTTTGGCATGTTTATGTAAGTGTCTTTCTCTGTATTCTAGGACAGGAGCTTTATCTTCTCAATTTTTTTACCCTTAACACCTAGCAAAGTGCCTGATACATGGTAGATGCTTAGTAAAGGTTTTTGAGCAGAATAAACTAACTTAACAATGATTTTAAAGATACTGGTGATACTATATAAGATGTGGATCAAGATCACAAAATACACCAAGACACATTCTTGAAGAAGGGATGTTCCTTCATATTTTGCTTCTAAATTTAATAGAAATAACATGGAGGAGTGAATTAAAGCTGAAGAGAATTTTGAACCGCTGATGAGGCTAAATTGTAAAAAAAAATGTTTTGCTACTCAAAAGCCATAGAATTCTAATAAAGATGATCAAGACAAGGAAACTAAATTCCTTTCTTCTCCCCCTCCACTGACCCCTTAATTTCCTGTCCACACGGTGCTTCTGTCTTGGGGGAGTCCCGTGACTCCTGCTCGTCCATGGGTCAGCAGAAGCACTCATGTGACTCACTATAAAGTTGTAGTTGCTGCTGAGAACGTTGCCGCAAAGGATGCAGTCCAGGAGCGGCAGGAAAAAGATGCCCTTCGGTCAAGAGGTCATGTGCAGACTCCCCAGTAATCCCTCTTTCTCTGCAAGAGTCACACAAGATGTACTTTTCTCTCTAGCTGCAAACTTCAGAGACGCATGTGAAATGTCTCTACCCAGGGAAGTTTTCTTAGTCTTAGAGTCCATAGTTCTCAAAAAGAACGGATCACATAGGCACGTCCCTGAA